GAAATGATATGAACAATGACAACCTGAGGATAATCAAATTCAGGTTCAGAAGAAGTCGATAATAAATAATCTCTGCTTGGAGCGTTTGAACGATCGTCCAGTTGCACTGGCGGATCGATTTCGGACATTGCTTTTAGTATTACCTATAGTTCTGGATAAAAATGGCATCCCAATGAATACTTTAAAATCCATTGCAATAAATACACCTGACAATATAAAGTTCCTACTAGCTCATTAAACTAAAGGCTTTAAAACTTATTTTTAAACCTGACGATCTAAAAAAGAACGAAATCTTCGCTTATTTCAAACAGCTCCCAAATTCACTTCCATGTTTTGTACTGAATATCAAAATAAATACCAATAACCAAGAATAAACTAACCACGATAGAATCACGGACATTCCTACGAATATCACTGATTTTTTCTTTCTTCTCTTTCTCATTAAAACCACTAATGTGTAAAATCCTCATCTGTTTCACAATGGTACTTTTACCGGATTCTCCAGCTCCAAGTAGCAGCAACCGATGAGTTGCTCGAAGCAATTGTTTATCCTTCTGTAACTGCTCCTCAATCTGCCTATTAATCTGCAAATGTACTGATTAAAATTTGATAAAATTTTATCTCAAAGTAACTGTTAAGCCCAAAAGCATAACACTATTAAACTTAACACATTTTTTAATAAGAAATAAACTTTCTAAAACATCTCGAGACTTCGAATGCAAAAACATTACCACGAATGAAAATCATAAGTTCCAAGTGTGAATGTGACCAAGAACAAGAACAAAACACAGGTATTTCCAAAAACACTACAAAAAAAAAAAAATGTAATATGTTAAGCATCTATTTCCGAGCAAAGCAACTATGCAAATTTCAATATAATGTCGTGTATGCTTATAGATAAAAAAGATGGCAGAATTATTAAAAACACAAAGCGAAAGATCTAGAATTCCTGAACAATGTTTGTCAAAGAAATAAAGACAGTTACTAGAATAGAATAGTACAAAACATTTCTCATTTTCCACAATGTGTTCCCTGTGTTCCTTGCAGTATCTCAAGAAAAATCTCAAATACACGAACTAAATTTAGTAAGTTTCCTCCTTCGTATCATAAATTGATGGATTCCCAGCACAAGTGAGTGGCTGGCTATCTTGGACTTGACATTCCATTTAGGTAACACAAGTACCAGAAAACTCCAATGTTCTCTATTTACAATAAGATGAACAGTAGGTAAGAACAAGTCTAAAACAGGAAGAAAGAAAAACAAACTAAAGGCAATTAAAGAAATTTATTCAATTTTGATGTTAATCTAATGTTTTATGCAGTAAAAGCAATTTCCACCAATCTCCACGCGTGTGGATACATCACATGCAGTTCTAAATAAAGCATCATATTTTCATCTTAGTTGCACCACAAATAGTTCTAAATAAAGCTTTATCATACTCATAAATAACTTGGGTGATAAAAGAGACAGCCGAGTGATGATGACGATAATAATTGCTGGTTGCTGCTTTTGTTCAAAAAGAAAAGTGATAAAGGTGCTAACATGGTTTCCGTACCATAATTTTTAGATAAATTTTTCCAAAATTCAAAATCACAATATCTTGATTCTAAATCTACATAATTTTGGGCCTTCACTGATACTTGGTGAGCAATATATGTGAAAAGAAACTCAAATCCAAACGTTATCATGTTAATAGTTCAGGAATTTCAATTAATGTATATGTTTATGGTTCAGCTATTGCACTCAAATCGTCTTATCATCTTGTTACTTCCATTTATTCACTAACGAAATAAAATTCCTCGCACTGAAAGTTTATCATACATAATATTTTTTGAAAACTTGTTAAATCCGATGTAGCTAACCAATTTTAAAACGCTTTTATCAACTAGAAAAAGATAATATCCATGATTACCTTTAAAATGGTACAGAATGATTGCAGGGAAATCAAATCGCAACTTAGTACCATAACTGATCAGGGGATTTCATCAAGTGAACTTGATAAGGAAAAAAGATCCATGCAAAACCAACTTCATTCTACTCTTTTTCTCTTTAGGAAAAAAAGCGCTGGAGCAAAGAACCAATAGAAGGTGAGTAGTGATATATATAAACCGAGTTTGATGTATAGTCTATACCCTCCCTCGCTTGTATGGTTGGTTTCCTAATACCTTTTTCAACTATCACAAGGACTTTAAAATGATGTGGTGTGTGTGTGTGTGTGTGTGTGTGTGTGTGTGTGTGTGTTTGCTTCTTCAGCTAATAGTTTACTCACTAAAAATAGCAAGGAACGTCCGCAAGAACTAATTTTCATGTTAAAAATAGCACATCCCTCTCTGTTGATCCCATTGCCTAAGTCTCCCTCTATTCCTTTCGCTTTCCTCTCGTTTCTGGTTGATTGCCTTCAAAACTTATAGCTATGAATGACTGACTGCTAAAAACTCCAGATAAAAACCAAAATCTCTCAGTCCGTTCTGCAACACAGATATTACAGAAAGATGAATCGATCGAAAGATAGATGGTCAAACTAGGTAAATCCTGCATTATCATCCTGAGAAGTGAACGCTGCTATTACTCCTACTACATTGAATTCCTGCATATACCAATATCAATGCAAGCATACAGAAACAAACTTCCAACACTAACGCACACGCATCTTCATATGTAGTGAGACGGTGATTTCAATCATTCTTTCAATCCAACGAAGGCGTTAGATGTTCTAAGGTGGAAATTGCCGTAACCAAACTCTATGCCGATGACTTCACTCTCCTATATCTAATCTATATATATCCTAATTAGACAGTAGTTGTGAATTCTGTAAACCTAAGGATAAATTCAAAATAATACCGCAACTAGGAGACATAATAGCTATAGCTAAACATATGAATTAAAATTTAAAATAAAAGATAAACCGATAACTTTCTCTGTAGAAGGTATTTAAAACTGTTTCCGTGCAAAAATGCTGAACATAAAAATTTTTAGGACTTCGAAAAGGATGCGAAAATAGCTGCAAATTAAATTTAATCATATAATAACACGGAAGAGTGAAGAAGGTCACAACCTATGAGCAAAGGAGAATGAACAACCAGTAGGACCTGAAAGTTTTCAAGCAATAAATGGAAGCAGTTAAGAAATTTTAAAACTCTCAAGAAACAACAAATTTTATTTGGAAACTGAATTCAGTTCAAAAACAGCAGATGCTCAAACTATACTGTTGTGAAGACGAACTTATACGTTTTAAAGTCAACAAAACTGGCTCTTTTCACACAGACTTTTGGTAGAAAAAAAAAAGATCGAATTTGTACTATATATTGCAAGTACTGGTAGGCAACTTTCTATATTACTGGTGAGGATCTGAAAAGAATGAATTTATAAGAACAATTAACAGTGTGTAAGGTAAATTTCATGAAATATTCTGTATAGTTTCATTGGACTTAATTTACCAGTCATTTATGTATATTCTAGGAACGAAATCCAACAGAAATTTAACAGTTTCAAACAGGATTTTTTCTCTAAAATAAGGAAAGATAGAAAGAAGAGATGGTAAGAGAAAGAACATAACAGGATAAAGGATAGTAATATATGGATTAATATTACAAACAGATCAATCAAGGTGCCTTACTTATTTGAACTAATTTTATTGGCAGAAACAGGCTTTCTTATGCATACATATCTATATTTTTTATCAAGTGAGCCGTTACATCTTTCAAATTCATTTTTTCTTCATTTTCCAAAATAGTAGAGAAAGTAGAGCGTTCTCAACATGAGCGGTCGCTTTATTATATTGAATATCACATCGCTGACAATATTCGCAATTAGATCTTAATTCTAATGATCTTAATACCAGTGGGTTGATAACATTACATGATGATACATATATATGAACTTGCCAGTTATAACTGCAATACATAATACGATCGACTGTTCGATCTCCAACTGGCAGTCTCTACTATTTTTAGATTATCTCAGAAACTCTCAGAACCTACCCGTTTGCTTTTAGCTTAAGAGAAATTTACTTGAAAGTGATTAAAATAAGGTGCAAAAAGAAAAAGCATGGGAGCCTAAAAAAACATGCAGAGATTTCAAAAGTAATATAGGGAGAAGCACGAGAAAAGATGAGAAATCATTGATTCTAGCAAATTTATACACAAAGTATTATAAAGCAAAGCAGATAATACATGCTAAGACTATTAATATCTATCTGCATGGTTCTTTTAACAACAGAACAACAAATGCAAAAGTTTCATGGATAAAAGTAGGGGTGACATAACACTTCCAGACAAATGGAGCTGCAAATTCCTCTCGAAAATCACCAAAGAAAAAATTCGAAATTTTCAAGCTATTCTAGAATATGAAACGAGATCTGCAGATCAAAATCTTATAACTCATACTTCAATTGGCAAGATGTTAACTTGAAAATATTACAACTCAAAACAAACAAGAAGAACGAATCGACATTTATTTCCCTTAATTTTTATTCTTTTTCATAACATGAGCTCCACAATTTTACGTTATATTTTTACAAATAACAGCATCATCAATGAGTGTGAGAAAAAAACAGAACGAAAGAATATGCAAACAAACATATTAAAATATGGACCACAAATAGACTGGTATTGCGAAGTAATGAGGCTTGTTGTTTAAAGAAATTATGCCTAGTACAAAAGGATTCACTGGTAGGTAATTGAGAAATAGGAGTAAGACATTCTTCCAGTTGAAGCATACGTGTTGGGCACAGTAATATAATTAATGTGTATAACTGGTAAAAGCAAACCTTCCGTTGCTCACGTTCCTCATCGCCGACTGCTGAGGAGTGTCCTACCATGCACCCCATCAGTCGCATCGCGTTGCGTCCTCAGTGACGCGTCAATGTCGCAAATTCCGACAGTTTCGCCAAGGGTGCAAATGCGGCGTCTCCTTCAAAGATCTTTGAAGTAATCTCTCCTGCAGGGTGAACAGCGATAATACGTAAGGTAAGGAGTAAGGAGATAAAGAAGATCAGCATTCACGATGCTGTCTTTTGTGTGACTCTAAATCCGGACAAGATTTCCTTCCAGTCTGCAACTGGGCCGGATTTGAAGAAAGCTTGAAGATGGGTACAAAGACGGCGGTATTGACAGGGAAGACGTAATGGGGGAAGAGAGAGTGCCAGAAGGAAGGGAAGGTATCCCCCGGTACTGTCTACAGGAAAGTAGCAGGGGGTAGCAGCAGCAGCAGCAGTATGAGTAGTAGCTGCTATCTTGGAAAGTAGAGAATGAGCTGCCGCAGATGGTGCAAGAAAAAGAGTGCTTGAAGATGGATTCATGGGGAGTGTCAGGGAACAGGATGAGAGAGGAAGGGATGGCAGCAGCAGAAACTGGACCATGAAGCTAGGCAGGAAGCGTTCCCTCCCTTACATTCTACTCTTCCAGTCTGCACAAGCAGCAACTATGTCCTGTCTCTCCTCTCCTCTTCCTTTTGCTATTTCCACCCTTTGCTCCTTCTCAATCCCTTACATACACGTAGTGAAGGTGTACTGCCGTCCGTTCCGGTTGCCGCAGTGTTGCAGTGGCGGTATTTGTAGTGGTTGCATCTGCAGCGGTGGCTGTGTCTTGCTAGATAGATAAGTACCGGAAAGGACAAGCTTAACTAAGCAGCGGCGCAATATAGGCTAGATGGTCTGATCAGAACACTGCTATGGGAGTGCACACCTCGCTGGCGCTAATTTAAATACTCGCCAATGTGGCACTCCACTGACATCAGCTACCGAGTACGCCTCTCTTTAGGTACTGCGTGTTACCTTGTTAAGTGATGTGTCCCTCAACTCATATTCTTCCATCTTCTATGATCTATTTCGGAAGAAGAATTCGTTTTCAGTATCTTTCAACATATCTATAAGATTCCAGAAACGGCCTTAAACATTAACATTCATATTGATAGGACAAAAATAAAAAGCTAATTCGAGATTCGATGGATTGATAACAATCAATTTCGTTTTAAAACATCCCATCCATAAACTGACTTTTTCCACACCACAACACAGCATAAAATTGTCCCTTATGCAGTAAATGTGTACACGTCTGTACGTTTGAAATATCAAGAAATGTTTCATATATATATACTATATCTAAGAAAACAAATAAACTACCCCTTTAAATATTATATCGGGTGATCAATCTAAATAAATGATGAACTCAGACCATAACATCTGAATAGGAAATAAATACAAGCAGAACCAATCAAAAAGTGTTACTCAATCCTTCAAATCTGTCCTCCATAAAACTGCCATCAGAAGGACATTTAGCAGGAAGAGCAGGTCGAAGATTATTATTACTGAATACAATGATTTCTCGAATGATCAGAATGATACGGATTCGGGATAAGGTTAGGAATACACAAGTGTAAGTAATCCAATTAATATACTTATGCATTAATATACTTATGTAATATACTTAACATTAATATACTTATGCAGATGGCCCGAAAAATAACCATGACGAGGAATGCATCGTATTATAAACTGTACTGTTTCATGTAGTAAATCACAAATAGGAAAGCATAAAGTGCAGCTAAAAAGAAGTAAGGGATGTATGACCTGGCTTCTGGCACTTATTGACACAGCACTTATCGCTCATTTAGAATGGTGAAAGATTAAGGAACTGGGATGAAGAAATCACTGCATGACAGAAGGGAGCATATACTAAAGCTTCTCTTTCACCGATTACCTCGGAAAGAACCAATTGGAACTTGCTTAGTCTGCTCCCAATCATAAGTAAGAATCCGTGAACCATCTAGGAATAACAACATTTCCCCTCTCTCGCAGCCATCATCCAAAATGAACAACTATCACACATGGAATAAACGGAATACCCCACTGAATTTTTGAAACGAAAAGGGAGGGATAGTGATTTTCGTTTAGACACAGTTGTAATAATACAAAGCAAACCAGATAGACTCGCTTTGTACTGGACTAGTTCCGGTTTTCTGGACTGTTGGATTCTGTTTTGTTGTTTATCTTTGTTTTCGTCCCAGTTTCGTTTCTGTTCGTGCTGGGCTTCGAATCATTCGAATGAAAACTTCAAGCAGGAAGAAGATAACGTTTGGAATAAGTTACAAATGATTACTACTTAACGATGAATACAATCACATGCTTGAAGCCTAACTTAGTCTGCATGTTCAGGTAGTCCGTAGTAACGATACGTCAATTATAAATTGTTAACTTCTTCCCTCGTCTTCCAAAAATAATAAAGGATGAATGCAAAAACAATGAATGCATTGTTCTCCTCTCGCTTTACGCTTTACAGAGAAGACCATTTGCGCTATCCGATTTGAATCTAATTTATTTTTATCTGTGTAAAAAATTGCTGATTAAAAAATATGTTCTGGTTGAGAGATGTTTTATTTATTATGAATATATGGGAAGATTATAGTTTCTTATACGATTTTGATTTACAGCTTATTTTAACAAAAAATTACATTATTGGAAAATGGATTTTTTCTTTTTTATCATAAAAACATAGTGAGGCTTGAGGTTTTGATCAAAAGAGTAGCTCCGCAAGAATATAGCGAGAAAAAATTCTTCCACGTTGCCCAGTTGCTGCATCTCTCATCTTTTATGTTTTGGCGTTTTTTTTTTTTTTTTTTTTTTTTTTTTTTTTATGGTAAAAAGCATGCTGATTTTAATTGCAGGACGTTTTTTCTCTTTTTTTTCTTTTTTAATTTTTTTTTAACCCCATTTATGAATTTTCCTCTTTTTGTCTCAGTGCAGTATTGTGAAATTTATATGACCATTTTCTTCCCTTTAACTTATTTTATTTGCAGAATGTCAAGTAATGGATCCACGCTTCAAGTAAGTGTCGTTATCTTGTTTTTTGTTCCCAAGTGTAAGGAAAGTTTGCTTCCGTACTCTTTAATTTAAAAAATTAACAGGTGATAGTTTATCTCTTCAAAGTCACTTTTCGATTTTGTGTTGCAGAAAGCAATTGAGTTGGTAACAAAGGCGACCGAGGAAGATAAAAGAAAAAATTATCCGGAAGCGTTACGATTATATAAACATGGGATCGACTATTTTCTTCATGCAATTAAGTGTAAGTTAGCATTATTAATTCAGAAGTGAATCTTTGGAATATGTTGTCAGAGTAAAGTTATTGCTTTCGTCTAATTTTTTGATAACCACATACATTTGTGCTTTTTTTGTATTTTCCTACAATTTTGATGTTAACACATTTAGATGAAGCTCAAAGTGAAAAACAAAAAGACACAATTCGGCAACGTTGTGCGTCCTACTTAGATCGAGCCGAGAAAGTAAAGGAATATCTAAAGGTAATATTAATGAATTTTTGAACTTTATACGAATGATGAAGCGGATTTAATGCTTAAATTCAATTATTAATCTCTCCGCCTTTTGTTATTCATCAATGAAAAGGGAATGAGAATACATATGGAACGTAAGCAAATCATTTTATTTTGCTGAATACAGATTCAGCAATGAAAGTTTGTGGAAAATTGCATGGTAATGGTTTTATGAATCTTTGAGCAAGTTGTATGAGAAATATTTGAGCTACAAAATTTATATAATTTGAAATGCTGCACAAGATATTTTCGCAACCTTGCCCTATATTTTTGAAATGAAGTAAGTATTGTCAGCAAAGTCAGTGAATCGCTCTGGCATCATTTGCTTACCCTACGTGTGGCTACTACTTGAAAAGTTATTTCTTACCCTGAGTTCTTAAATCTTTTCGCACTTTCAGTGTCTTGAAAATTACATAGTAGCTTCCGCTTTCTAAGCTGTTGCCATAGATTCTCACCTTAGTTCAAGCTACATATTACTACACTAATAAAATTGTTAATAAATAATTGATTAAGTATAGCAAAAATTCGTAAATTATGCAAGTTTTATATGGTAATATGAGCTTTAACATGGTCGTGTTACCGAACATGGAAAATCATTAATGGGGCAGCATTATCCATTTGCAGTAGCATACTATTGCAACTGATTCTAATTATCTGTGTGGGCTTTGTCTCATACCTTTACGACTATTGCAGGTTTTTGGGGGTTTTCATTTATTTCATAGGCTTATTGGAAACTTCTAATACATATATCTTCTCTTTTGTTACTGCGTTAAGTCTTTGTCGGTTCACAGTGCTCTAAAGTATACATTGGATTTCATGAAAAGGTTAAAAGATTCAGAAATTTTGACATCTTTTTATAGTCTGGTGGTGATCGAAAGAAGGCGGTAAAAGACGATGTTTCTGGTGCGAAAGGTTCAGATTCAGATTCTGAGAAGGATACGGAAAACAAAAAGTTGCAAGAGAGATTGTCAGGTGCTATTGTTATGGAGAAACCGAATGTAAGTTGGGATGATATTGCTGGTCTTGAGGGAGCTAAAGAGGCTCTGAAGGAAGCAGTCATATTACCAATCAAATTTCCTCAATTATTTACAGGTTGGTGCATTTAATAAAGTTTTAATAGAATTTGTGAACAGTAATATGCTGGGTTTGATTAATAGAAGCGTAGGACAGATTGAGTGTGAGGAGTACCAACATATTTTAAGATGCATCATTCACGTTTATCCTTGCTCTTTACTCTTAAGTTCTTCAGGTTAATCGGAATGCCTTGTATTTTACTACCTTATATAAGCTCTTTTTATAACTTTTTTTTTTTTCAAAAATGATTTTAAATAGATTTTTCTCGTTAAGTCAGTTCAACGAAACTATCTTCTTTTTCTCAAGAGTTTCCAGAAAACCTTTAAAATTATCTTTCCCAAGCTCTAAAGATGAATAATTGAATCACTATTACCAATTTCATTATGTTTCACCATTTTTTTTTTTTGATTGTTTCTTCAGTAATTCCATTTGGCATCTGTTTCAAGAAGAAATAGTTAATTTTTCCATAATAAGACTGTTATGGACGACTTTTGTTCAATACTTGATAATTGATTGATTTAAGCATTCTTGAAATAGGTAAATAATGTTTATTCTAACTACATATGTGCTTGCATTGGATGCAATATTAAACATAGTCATAGGCAAAATCATAAATGTTGCGTGAGAGGGTGAGCATTGGGCGCTTTGTGAGCTCGAGCTGTCAACGCCATATCTTCTTCTTTCATGAGAAATAGAGATGCTCCGTAAAGAGCCGGAGATATGAAGCACTGCATGAACGCTAGAAATAACATTAGAACAGGAACTGTTGAATCCGGTTTCCTCCAGTCTTTGACTATCGTTATTGCGTAGAATGGTAGCTGATAGAATGGACTAGAAGAAGTTTTTCTTAATAATGACTTGTTTGGTCAAATTCGAATTATTGGTTTTGAAAGCACTTTTTTCAACAGTAAGTTTAAAAAAAATTTTTTTTTTTTTCGTTAACGACTTTTAGAGGTAGTAGATGGAATTATTTCACACCATTCGCTAAGAAAAAAAAAAAAAACTCGTTTTATGATAATGAAGTCGTTTTACGATAATTATTGAGTGTACGAGTTTTTGTTAAAAATCAGTTAATCGTGAATTTACTGAAATTTCAAGCTAAATATAACACAAAACAACGTAACAAACCTCAACAAGAATGAATAAACCAGAAAACGACTTTTATATAAGCCAATACTTTGAAATACGATCGGACTGTGGTAGAGTATGCCGAGGACTCGAATATAAGCGTAAGAAGCCAATGATGCAGGTATAAATACTCCCAGAATCAAAAGATATGTCAAAAATTTAAGGCCGCTATCACTGAAATGTTTGTTCTGATAAGTCTCCTGAGGTTATGCATCCGAATCTTTCGAAGTTTTCTTAGGATTTCAGAAAGCAGGGAAATTTTGTCTTTGTTGTTTCGGATGTATTTTAAATTTTATTCGCAAAATACAAAAACTCAAATTGCCTTTTTTATCGATAGCAGAATTAGATAGTAGAATAGCTAAACCTGTCTCCCCATATGCAGTGCCTAAACGAGGGGTCGTAGATAATGATATGTCCATTGGTAATCGTTGGTAGTGATAAACCAAATGCCAACAGCCAGGAAAGAACGCACAGCATATTGGGTGGTAAACCAAAGAGCTGTTCATAATGTATCCGTGCAAATGTCAACAAATGTACGCCAGCTATGCAGAGTGCCATGAAATGTATTACGGTCCATGCAGCACATGTAAGCAGAGCCTGAAGTCAAATTTGTTAGTCTCAGGAATTAATTCAAAATGTTGAGTATAGCAACTTCCTGATTTATATTGTACATACAGAACAGGATTTCTTTACAAGATTTAACAGGAACTCTGGCATAATTTCTAGTAATCCACATGAATACGTGGACTTTTATCTCGCAAAGAACCAAAAAACTGTTTGCTGAAGCTAGAAAGAATGTGTTGTATTTCAATGAGAAATTTTTAAATGGAATAGCATTTGAGATTTTAACCATTTTGCTTTATTAAAACAGTTGTGTCTTGAGTGCAATTTTGCTGTTTCTTGTGGAGAGTTATTGCTCCTAGAGTAACGATGTTGAATCAAATATATGATGTTGGAATAATGGTATTCCGAAAAAACGAAAGTGCTATTTTTTCTTTTTTTTTAAATGCTAAAGCTAGTATTCAGTTGACCAGATTTTGTGGAAGTAAAGAATGGCATAATCAGAACTATATGGTTAGTAAATTACCTGTACTCGGCACATCACGTTACTGTGGGCCCAAATGTTGACTCCTGACCACACATTGTAAATGAACATTGGCAATAGGAGGCATAGGGCTGCCGCATTTGTTATGCATAAATGAGCTATGAAATGAGATGAAATGAAGTTACGATACAGTCTGTTGTAAATGATATATATTAATAACGTACAATTTGCCATTAGGGCCAGCAAGCTGATGCAGGCAAATGTAATGGCGAGTAAAGGTTTTGGTTCAGCGGTCATTTCGATTGCAGTAATTAGCACTTCAGAATGATTGGATGTTACTGGTGAAAGCGTTGCCATAGTCGCTGATACACTTTAATACTGCTACTTCAACTTTTTCGAGATTTGGCTTTGTATGGATTTTGAGGAGTGCTGCGCTGGTGACTTTTGTAGTAGTAATAAGTTCAGTTGCATTTTCTAAAAATAATTTTTGCTGATGTAGATAAGACGTATTCTCTAAAAATTTCCATTTTTGGCTAAAAAGAATTCACTGTATTATAGACATTTCTCATTTTTTTGATTGCTTCGACGAAGTAAAATTCATGCATCTCAAAGGGTAGAGCTATTCGAAACAAAACCTTTTTGATTAATTAATCACATCATCTTTTAAGTTTACCCCGAACAGAAATACATTTTTTTAATGAGATTCAGCTTATAACATCTGTTTCAAACTTAGACTTCAGCAACACGATAATTGCTGATATACTCTTAATACTATTTGTGAACTACAAAATAGGGAAGATCGGCAATGGTCAGACATCAGAACAGTTTTACGTATTCATAATTATAAGTATGTATGTGGTTAAGCATATGGTTTTCATTACGTTATTGATCTCTGAAGTAATAAAGAGCTGTATTGCCGATTGATCAGAAATTCATTATAAGATTACCAGAGTATAGCACAGAGACTTGCACTACGACGTGTTTCTTCTTATGAAGGCGAGCGTTTAACCAAGAAAAGCGATATTTTCACAAGTCATTCATTTCCAGTGATTTTTACAATCGATTCGATATTTACTTGTCTCATGAAAGAGCTGAATGCTGAAATGAGGTAATTCAAAGAGAAGGAATGTGAACAGAAAGAATTAAGAATTAGAAGCTTTCCTACTTATTATTTTGGCAATAATGCGAGGAGTGTTTCGATATAGCGAAATAGATGAGTGTGTATAGATGTGTGTGTATTTATATCGGTGCCATTCAATCATTGGATAAGCCTGACGGGCTGTCATTACTGCTTGTTCTGATATAATTTCTAGTAATTCTGCTGCTTGCTAATCGTGGAACCGCACTAGCCAGACTCCAAGGGGAGAACCTTTGTGAATTATCGATTTTACACACTCATCAACTTGTAGACTAGTTGTCTTGCACTACGCCATACATTATTTACTGCATCATACGTAGCTTTTGAACATTAAATTTATTAATGATTTATATTGAATATTTTCTCTAAACACTTAGTGTTGTTTCCGTAAAGCAGAATCAATTTTTCAAGCTTGACAAACGTGTTTTCTAATTTTTTGTTTTCTTTAAATGATTATTTAATGGATTTAGTAAGTGCATGGGGATTTTATTTCCAAATAAGCCACTTATATTTCTTCTTAACTTTTAGGTAATAGAAAACCATGGCGCGGGATTTTGCTTTTTGGTCCTCCTGGAACTGGCAAATCATATATTGCAAAAGCGGTTGCAACAGAAGCTAACAATTCGACATTTTTCTCGGTGTCATCTTCGGATCTGATGTCAAAATGGTTGGGCGAGTCGGAAAGGTTTTATATTTTTCATATGTATAAAAATTGAGCACTATGGGAGCCGATTATATGCTTGGATAGAATTTTACAATGGATTTGGACCAACACTATTTCAGTACTGTAGGTTATGAAGTGATAGAAAACTATGATCTCTTGTTTCTGTAAGTGATCATAAACGATATGAAAATTTGGAAATAATTGTTTTGCGAAACTATATCATGGTATTATATTGGTGATTGAATTATTATTAGTATTAGAGTCAAGTATTGTTGTCGAAGTTTCTGCAAAATGAGTAATGGGTTAGGAGTATTATAGTCTGAAGGAATGCTATGCTGCTAAAAGATAGGTTTCATACAAAAGCAACGTCAGATATGGATCTAGAAAATCTTTTTTAATATATGGTAATCGTTCTACGATTTTTTCAGACTGGTGAAGCAGTTGTTCGAGATGGCTCGAGAACACAAACCATCAATAATATTTATCGACGAGATTGATTCCTTATGCTCTTCACGTTCCGACACGGAAAGTGAATCGGCTCGACGTATAAAAACCGAATTTTTAGTTCAGATGCAAGGTGTTGGCAATGACATGGAAGGTATTCTAGTACTTGGTGCTACTAATATCCCTTGGGTTCTAGATGCTGCTATTCGACGACGATTTGAGGTTGGTGGATTATGTTTTTGGAATTATGTGTTACATTTCGTTTAAATTTTGCAAACTTTGTATTTCAACAGTTTAAAGCTTATTTTCCTTACTTATGTGCGAAATATGTACTTTTGTGGTATATACATGTAATCTCTGAACACTCATTACACCGTGAATTAATCCGGTAGTTTATCTGCCGCCCAGTATGCCTGAAACTGTAATCTCAATAATAGTTAATTGACATTTTTATCCTTCCAGAAGCGAATTTATATCCCACTACCAGAAGCAAATGCTAGGAAAGATATGTTTAAATTACATGTCGGAAAGAATACACCACATTCGTTAACGGAACAGGATTTCAAGGTATGTGCAAATTTTATTTAAGTTTATTTTTTTCATGTATTTCTAGAAGAACTGGAAATCGTTATGTGAGAAGCTCTGATGTAACCTATTCTCCGATGATTTTATTTTCTGAGGGAGAAATGAAAAGGAAATATATGTAAAGTGAAATCTAACATAATTATTTTGTATTAGGAAATTGTTTATTCCTAATTTTCGTATTAGGATTTTTTTCTTCTTTTTTTTTTTGTTTGTTGCTTGCAGATTCTTGCAGAAAAAACGGAAGGATTTTCTGGATACGATATTTCGATTGTTGTGCGGGAAGCTTTGATGCAACCAATACGTAAAGTGCAGACAGCAACTCATTTCAAACATGTTTCTGGACCTTCACCCTCGAACTGTAATATTATTGTACATGATTTGCTAACTCCCTGCTCTCCTGGTGATCCAGGTGCCATGGCAATGTCCTTCATCGATGTGCCCGCCGACAAATTAGCTGAACCAATTCTTTCAATGGTACGTTTTTGTTTCCATCAAATTTCTCATCCCCTCCATGAAGCATGAAAAGATGAGTAGGAGTGAGCGAAATGATTATTTCTTTTGTTAAATTTATAAGATTCAGGATGAAAATAGATTAATTATAATACCACAGGTAATCATAATATTTAGTTAAGCAATAAATTTCATTAAAATTCAGAGCGACATGCTACGATCGTTAATGAACACGAAACCAACAATAAATAAGGCTGATTTGGATAAACTAATGCAATTTACGAAAGATTTTGGTCAAGAAGGATAATGTTTTCGAGGAAATAGATAGATTTGACATGCATTAAGCATATGTGCTGGACAGCTGTTTTAGATCATCGCTTTTTAATTATGTTTGCTTCAAAGCTCTTCACAAATTTTTGATTTTCTTTTTTTTTTGTATATACGATATTTGGACAAAAAAAATTTGGAATGTTTCAACTGTTAGAACTTTATTTCAGCTGAGTTTCGATTTAATTTTTTTCATATTTTAGTCTGTTTTCGGTCATTCCAATCTTTAAATATACGTTAGCTGTAACTTAACTCTTTATGAAGACTTTGTTATTCGAGAAATTGTATTTTACGTAAAAAATTATGTAAACATTTTTTTTTTCAAGAGAAGAGGTAAAACAAGAATTAATCCTGTTGGCATCGGACAATACGTTCTGTTAGATGAATTATTTTCTTGTATTGGATAAAACCTTCCGGCAGTGGCGCAAAACTGAGCACTGGAAATTTTGTGATTTCCATTCAAATTTTTTACACAATATTATGCTGATTCTAATCTTTATTAAAGAGATTCTACTGAAAGTTTGAATATAGGCCGCAGAAATTTCGTGAACTAAGAAAGTTTTTGTCATTTTCTTGCTCTAGACTTTAGAATTGGTAGTACCGGAATAGACTGAACGTTTTATTTGATTCGTGTGGTGCAAATCGATCAATTCTTTTGTAAGATTTTTATCTATTCATAGTTTCCTATTTGATTCTGTGTGAATATGGAGGGAAAATAGAAATTTCCTTTCGTATTCTTTTCCTAATTACCGTTGGATTTTGTTTGCCGACTGGTGCTTTGTACGTTTGAGATAACTAGCACAATAATCTTTTTTATGTGAATTTTGAGCCATATATTTTTTGTTCACTATTATAGTCAAGCTAATAATACACAGTATAATTCTTTCCTTTTCTATTCCTTGTCAGAATGTGGGATTGTCAATTTAGGTGAATTTCTTTTCATGAAAAAGTCAACAAAGTTATGTAACGATACATTTTACAAGCGTTGAAGTCAAACAAGGTGTACATGTCAAATGACATCCTCCATTTTCAAAATTAATCACTCTATGTTTGCATTGATTTAACAAAAAAGTGTGGAATTTGGTAATCAAATAAATAGTATATTAAGTGAATTAAAGTTCCATACGGAAACCTGTCACATTCTTCAGCTTTTTTAATAATTAGGAACCGTTTCTTTAGATTTCACTGACTCCTGTCAGAATTACAAAGGATTTAAAAGTTCTTTGTTCTTTATTAAGTGTGAAGTGCGAAAGTTTCGAAAGAGTGTGACATCTAAAACATACAAAAAAGTTCTTTTATGATATATATATATATATATATATATATATATTGTATCTGTTGGTAATAGTGATTTATATCAACATTTTGATACATTCGTTTCGATAATACGTTATGCTTTAAAAGCTACTTCCAGGGATCTTTCAAAAGCGAAGATAACTCTCTTTTAGATATTTTATTGAATTTCCCTTTCAAAAGCTAGGAATACAACGTAGCCATATGTTATGTTGAGCAATTTCATCTTTAAATTATTCTTTTATTTAATGTGTTACCATGTGAGTCATTTGTTCTTCAGCAGTAAACATAATAGAAAGGATAGCTGTGAGTGAATGAGCAATGTAAACTACCATCTGTTAGTGTTAATAGTGGCAACTGTAGATGAGTGAATGAAATGAAATGCTGTCATCAACAATAAAAAAGGCAGATCAAGTGCTGTTAATTATGGTACTGAACATTCTCGTATCGCATAAAAAAAAAAAAAAAGAATTTGAAATACATCTTGCTACTGTAAAGATTTCCTTACTGCAAGCTTTAATGAAACATAAAATGTGACAGCTGAGCAATTAACTCATAACTGCAGCAGTAACTATTGGCAACAATAATGGGAAATTTCAATAATTTAATAGTATCTAGTTCTTGAAGTTATCAATATTTCCTGATAGTCTTTATTCAGGAATTGCTTGTCACATTTTAGTAGGATAGCGTTTAAATTAATTCGACATTTTCGACACAGAATAAATTTATTAGGATACCTTTATTACAGTTTTAATTGCTATTCTTATTATCTGTCTATCACTTGACGCTTAATAATATTTTCTGGCTATTTTACAGATCTCTGTTCCGAGACTAATAAGTTATAACCGTAATTGGTATTTCTTATATTAAAATATGATAGTAGGGAGAGAATTATTATGATCAGTGACGGATGAAGAAGCTATTTGGTCGAAGATCTTCAGTCTTTGAAAGTTGTGATTAATCTTTTGTCGTTATTGGCGGTGACTGACATTGCATATATTACATATATTGATTTTCAATGGAGTATAAGAAGCATGTGGCGATTTTTTCCAACTAGTGTTTGTACAGTTTGTGCGCATATATGTTTAGGTGTGTTCGTAGTTTCAGTGTCATTCTATTCTTCATTTTCCTGCTACTTTTTAAAAAATGAGCTGCAATTCATGCAAATACTCTAAAAATAGTTGCTGTGTCGATAATAGGATAGCGTTTAAATTAATTCGACATTTTCGACACTGAATAAATTTATTAGCATACCTTTATTACAGTGTTAATTGGTATTCTCACTATCTGTCTATCACTTGACGCTTAATAATATTTCTGGCTAATTTGGTTAATTACCTTACGAATTGTGCATGATTTCTTAAGTCACTGGATTTGGTGAGAGTTCCTCACTTCTCAATCCGGGTACTCAGAATGACTTAATTGATGTTGTATAATATATGATGTTATATAGTACGTTGTTGATTTCATGCATATCATCGCTGACAGTATCGAAAGACGCAAGTTTGAGGAAATTTTCAATATTTATTTGATAAGATGTCATTCAAACTTTCCCGACATATGATGACATTTGTTGAAAATCGAAATTTGCTTAAAGAAGAAATATTGCTTTATTAGAGGGAAAGGAAGAATTATTAGATAAAAGGCTTAAATTTAGAGTCTTTGTTTGATTCTGAAGTAGATGTTATTACGACATTTCCCAGTATGAAGTTAGAAATCTATTTTCCATTCCCTTGTAGTGATCGTTCTTAAAGGTTATTGGTCCATTCCAAATGATCATTTGTTAGCAGTTCATTTTCATTTATGAGATTTTCCCATAGCAGTGATGATACAGGAAGTTGTTATGTATATTCTCAGAAGAACTGTGACGCATAAGGGAGTCCTATTGATTCGACATTTTTACCTCCAGATAAACTGATCTGATCATCACTTCGTTTTTATTGAATTTCCATTTCTTTTAACAAATACTCGTTCCTGACTGATAGTGAACGTTCGACTCTGTACGCAAAAGATGGTATCCTCAAGTGACAGTGTTTCTAACAAAATTCATCTCGAGCGACGCATTTCCCTTTCCAATGGTTGTGCTATTATTGTTGGTGTTATTGTTGGTTCTGGAATATTTGTTAGCCCCAAAGGTTTGTTGATTTTTTTCCACTTTTTGAAATTTCAAAAAACTTGAAAATTTGGGTTAAAGGAGTGCGGACTTCTGAAAAAAAGAAAAATTCTAAAAATTTTCTAATGAATCTTCAACTTTCAAGGCGTTCTTATTGAATCGGGAAGCGCTGGTTTGTCATTGATCATTTGGATTTTATCAGGTGCATTTGCCACGATGGGTGCTTTTGTTTATGCTGAACTAGGAACAACTATTCCTAAAAGTGGCGGTGAGTATGCATACATCAGTGAGGTAGGTGCGACAATAAAATTGAACAAATGCATTCTTTTTCTGTTTATTTCCAACCAGTTATTTTTTTGACTACTTTCTCATTTTTCTTTCGAACGAACTTTGTTCCGAATTTCGTTCTTATAAGAAAATTTATCAGTGGAAAGGAGTGATTACCTTGTTGAAATATGGAATCAAATGGAAATTAAATTACTGAAAGAAAAACAAAACATTGCTAAGATCTTAAATTAAAGTAGGATTACAGGTAGTTGCAAAATTTTTCTAATTATATATTTTACTGTGTCATTTTTGCTTCAGTCGTTTAGCCAGAATTTTTTCAGTCTTATTTCATCAGCTATCTGTAAGTATAGAGTTTTAAATAGGATAAAATTTTAATTACATAGCTGAGGTCATAGATTATAATACGGAAATCATAGAGTGTTTTCTAGCTACACTTTCTCCCTTTTCCTTTTTTTGTAATCCTAGATCAACTGTTTTCTTGAATCTTTGATTTAATAGTTCTTTACAAAACTCCTTTTTATGCCTAGACATCATTTAGGAAAATAAATTGTTAAAATATGACAATCTTAAAAGTATTTAGAGTATTTCATTATCTTTAATTTTTGTTAAAATAATTTTACGTTGCAGGCATTTGGTCCTTTGCCTGCATTTCTTTTTCTTTGGGCAGCACTAATTATTATTAACCCAACGTCAAATGCTATTATGGCGTTAACATTTGCTCAGTACACACTTCAACCATTTTTCAAAAACTGCGAACTACCCGATTATGCTGTGAGATTATTAGCTGCTTGCATCATTTGTATGTTTTAGTTTTGAAAATTATGTTGGCATATTAACCTCGCTGTTACACTGATCAGTAGTTTATCCTTTGCTGCCAGCACAGAAAAAAATGTTCGTATTTGCTCAAGGTTTATTGCCATTCATTCCTTCTTCTAAGTTTAAATTGTAGCTATAACTATTCTAGAGCTGTGAAATTCACTAAAAGAATGAAAATAGAACTTTAACTAACATTATTTGGATAGTAAAGTTTTGAGGAAATATTGTGAGAAAGTGAAAACTTATTGATTGTTATATTGCAGGTTTATTGACATTTGTCAACTGCTACAGTGTGAAGTGGTCAATGAGAATGCAAAATGTTTTTTCATTGGCTAAAGTAGCTTCCCTTTGTGTCATTATAATAGCTGGTTTATTGTGGTTATGTTTGGGTATGATTTCCACATTACTGATTTTAGTTCAGATCAAAATAATTCCGAACTTGTTTTAGATCTACAGCTTGCTTAATTTATTAGCTGACTGAAGGTGGCGATCTAATCATGTTCATTCAAACAAATTAAGTAATACGTCTAAACAGTTGTTTTTTTAGTCTTATTTGAATTCCTTCATTATTAATGAAGGGATTATTTCAGGTAATACAGAGCATTTGGAACCATCAATATTGTTTGAAGGAACGCAGACAAATCCGAGTCATATAGCATTAGCTTTTTATTCGGGTGTATTTTCATTTAGTGGATGGTAATTATTTTCGCTTCAGAAAAGTTCCATTCTCTTATTACCTTAATTTTAAATTCCAAGTTTTTAGTAGTGTTTTAGATTTTAATTTCCATCAGTTGAAAGTAAGTGCAATTTCAGGAAATTTTAGCTTATTTTGAATAAGGTTCGTCCAATCCGTTCTTTTTCGTTCAGTGGTGTAGTTCTTTCCTTCTTTTTTCAGGAATTCGTTGAATTTCGTAACGGAAGAGCTTATTAATCCGCGCAAGTAAGTTTTCTTTTCCAAATCAATTTGTAGAAGAGTTTATACACTAATGTCAGTAGAAGCTGCTTTTCTATCAATTTAATATAAAGAAGTAAGCAGTGTCATGCACCAGAACTTTTCTTGAAAACGTAGTCTTCGAAAAGTGGAGAAAGGGAATTTCTTCGAATATTGAAGTCTCATTGACGGGTAATTTGAAACTAAGAACGACAACTTTATCTTTATTTAAGAAATTTGCCTCGAGCGATTATGATTTCATTGTTCACAGTAACAGCTATATATATGCTCGTTAACATCGCATATTTTGCTGTCTTGTCAGTACCAGAAGTTCTCGATTCACCGGCAGTTGCAATGACTTTTGCAGAAGTAGCCATGGGTAAATTTGCATCGGTAATGCCTATATTTGTTGCCATTTCATGTGCTGGTGGCCTAAATAGTATTATTTTCTCAGCAAGTCGAATGTTCTTCGTTGGCGCCAGGTATATAAGTTCTAAGTTTTAAATTTTCCACCTTAACTTGTCAATTTCTAAAGAAATCTTCAACTACTTAGTCCTACAATTTACACTGGAGATGGGCAAATCAGTCTTATAATAATAAAGTGGATTTTTCATGAGACAACATCTTAAATTCTTATGACATTTCCAGACACATCTTGCTTACATAGAGATGTGATACATTCTAAACTTGGAAGAAATGTGTTATTCATGTCTGCAACTTAAAAGCATGCGTTAAAATCTGGGTGCTAGTCACTTCAAAACCATCAAAATGATTTTGTCATAAAAAATTCTTTCAGGGATGGTCAGCTGCCAGAATTACTTTCGATGATTTCCATAAATTACCTGACGCCACTGCCATCACTACTCATTCTTGGCATCTTGTCATTACTGATGTTGGTTACTTCGAACATTTATTTACTCATCAATTACCTGACATTTACTGAAGCGTTTGTCATTGCACTTTCCGTTGCTGGTCTAATCAAATTGCGTTTTACTCAGCCTGATATCCCTCGTCCAATTAAGGTTGAAAATGAGTTTTCGTCGTTTTTTCAACTTAACTTCAGGAAGTTCTTTAGTTTTAAAATTCTTTTGTAAGAAAAACAACTACCATATATCATAATTGACTCTTGCTAAAGTTATTTTAAAAAAGACAAAAAACTTCTGTCATATAAGAGCAGCTTTCTTGATGAAATTCATCTGTAAAAATTTCTAGCAAATACTATTTTTTATTTATGATTGGTAATTTGTCCCCAAGTATTACAGTTATGTTTTATGTACTAACTGATGTTGTATAGTTTTTCCGTAATTTATATAAAGCTTATTTATCTGCAATTTGTCACATGATTTCTAAACAATTTCAGCAAAATATTTTGTTCCCAGCGACATTTTTGGTTATTTGCATTGCACTGCTGATGTTACCGTTTTTCATACAGCCCGAAGAACTGATTATTGGTGTTTTAATTATTCTCACTGGCATCCCATTTTATTTTGTTTTCCTGTTTTGGAAAAATAAACCAGCTTGTTTATATAAGCCTTGGAGTAAGTCATCCTTCCCTTATATTTTAGCATGTTCGAAAAGAACATGATCTTTTTTTTGTTTGTTACGGGAGCAAATCTATTTCTGTTGTGAACTGGTAATACAAAAATTAGAAGGTGCACATTTTCTCGTAACAATAAATTTTAACATCTTCCAGTTTCAATGACGCACGCAATCCAGAAATTGCTTTATTGTGTTCCAGAAGAGGAGCACACTGATTAAGGAAAATTTCCTCCAATATTTTGTTTTGTTTTCGTTCTTTTTTTTTTTGTTGATATCACAACTGACGCAGGTAATAAATTCTGATTCGTAACCGGTTAGTATCGCATTTTTCAAAAAATGTCAGCATAATATTTAAAATGCGTGGTTGACAATCGTATTTCTCTTAACTAATACTTTAAGTTTTAAATCCGAGTGTAAATTCTGGCTATAAAATATTTCTGATAATACTATTATTCATTCTCTCGAAATCATGTCAACGTAAATTTGGCAGTTGTATGAATACTTTGTGCTTATTTGATTTGATACCTATTTCCAATATACATATAGAATCATAAAAACTGTTACTGGTGGTGATAGTTATGTATAGTATTATATTTTCTGCTTAATTGGTGTGCGATAGATATGGAAGGTCATATATTTTTTCTTTACTATATGAACTACTAAATCATTCTGGTTTACATTTCTTCAGGTTTTCATAAATGTACAGAAAGATAATAGTATTTCTTTTGTTGCACAATATAGATTAATAGTTACACCTTTCAAGGTTTCATAAAGATACGGGCAGGTAGTGTCTCTTTTTCTGCATAATAAAGAATATGTTTTAACGGATATGGTGCATCAATTCTTGGGACATCATTCACATTGAAGCTAACATTAGTGCAGTCATAATAATAGTAATTAGCGCGCTCAGTGCAGTGAATACCAGCATAATTAGTACCGTTAATCTGTTGGTCTAAAAATTTTGCAGTTAAGCTTAGAATTTAAAGGATTTCTGTGGAATGAACTGTGGCCAGCATCTTGTCAAGAGAAAGGGAACTGACTCACCTTGTTGTCATACTTCGCCTCTGCTATGACAATTTGTTCCTGGTGATAATGTCGTCCAGCATAGGTGACTGATATATTTTGCTGCCCCTTCAGGGAATTAGTTTTCTTAAATTTTGGTTGCATAGTTTAAATTTGTATCAAAATGTGCATTGATTTTGTTTCCTGAGCTTTAAATTCCAAAGATTCAGAGAACAAGTCAAAGATACCATTTGACCTAATCTATCATTTGTCAATATAACCTTTATATATCCGTAAATGCAATCAAAGTATATTTCCCAATATCAAGAGTAGTTAAAGAAAAAAATATGCTCACCTTTATAAGGAAAAACAGAAGTGCTATTAGAATAAGATAAAGTACATACAGAATAATAGCAGCCCATCTGGCGACCCATAGGCGGAAAAAAATAACGCTTAAAATGATTGAAATTTCTGAAAGATTTCAATAGCTCAGTATTTGTTTACTTATATCCTTGTACATTTAGTTGGCGAAAGATTAACATAATGCATAATGCACAAGGAAGATTCAGAACACTAGTTTTATTTTACAGCCAGAATACTCAAGATCACATTAAGGTATCATTCTTGATTCATAGGTAATTTATGCTATGAACCTGTTTTATTTTTGTAACTTAATTTTTGCGCAGAATGGTTATGACTAAAAAAAAAGAACTAAAATTTCTCTATCCAAGAACTACAAAAATTGAAATGTCAAACTTACGGCCCAGCAAGAAAGATAGAAAACCAAAAATGCGATGTGACCAATTAAATATGATGCGAGATTTCGACCCTTCATCGCACCGTAATAACGCACCCACTGGTTGAATCAGCATTACACCAACCGTTATAGCACCGATCTTAAATATAAAATTTTTAGAAGATTTTTCGTTAAAATTCCTACAATTTCTACTCAAAATTAAAATTGATTTATTGAATAGCATACAGCATATGCTATTCAATAAACCTACTTTATTTAATGTTATTTCTTGAATTTTCGGTAAAGAAAATATTTATCAAGACATATTGAAATAGAATTTGACTTACATCATCAAACTATATCACTAAATTAAGAGACTTCAGTTCACTAAGTTGATCATGCCTTACGTGAACATTAGAACTAGGTCATTGTTACAAATTCCTCATTTTTTGAACCTTCAGCGACCCAAAAGGCAATATAGCTGAAGGAATGATTCAAAAAAAAAAAAAAAAAAAAACAAACAATGGAATGAATAGCCCCAGCAGAAAGATTCCGTTTAATGGTCTTACTGACTGCCGGTCCGGTCCATCGCCACTCCTTCCCAATGAATACTGATAAAACACCAACAATAATTAGAATGATTGCCAAATAGTTCGTCGTACGATGTATCTGAAATTTAAACCTTAACATTGTTTTTCTAAGACAACGACTGTTAACGAATTTAACGGGATAAACTACCATGTAGTTATTCATAATCCACCGAAAAACTAAAGGAGAAATGATTTCAAATCAATGCGATTTCAAATGTTGCTCGGAATAAAACTTCTTCCGACAAGAGTTAGTTATAGTTCAGTGGTTAGCATGATAATGAGCTTACATGGAACCATATTTTCAAACCAAATGGCCTAGTTTCAGGCCAGTATTCTCGAAGATATCGTGCTGCTGCAATTGCTGAAGGGATCAACCACATCCATCCAACAAGCATTAAAATCCCTGAAAAGAAATTAAATAATGGAAAAGTTATTCTGAAAACGAATGACATGACCTAAGATAAATTAATAAATCATTTAAAAGAATAATATATCTGTGGATTGTCCAGTCTTGGAGAAAAAGGTAGTCTTGGCAATACTTGCCATGTAAGATAACTAATTTACGATTCGTTCGTGGCTTAACCGGCGCCAATGGTGCTCTTTCCCGTTCAGCAATATTTATTGGTGTTGAAATAAAGAGCGGAAAATCCTTGGAACGTTCATCCAGTGAATGTATATCCAACTCTGAAGCTGATCATTAATTTTAAGAAGTAAAAAAAAAGATCATTCCGCAAAAAAAGCAACGACAATCAAACATAAAATAAAAGCTCATTTAGATCTTTACCATCAAATTGCTTTTTAAGGTGATAATGAAGTTGTAGAAGCCGTGTGATACTTCTCTTTTTATTAGTTGAATTAATGAACCCATGCATGTTAACAGCACACACACACACACACACACACACACACACACACACACACACACACACACACACACACAACACATTCGTTTCTCAAAATACAAATTGCAATTAAAGAAGAAAAAAATGTTAAAAAAGAGCAGTACCATAGCTAATTTTCTACCTTCATATTTGTTAGTCTTGCCATATGCTAAAAGCAAATAATAAGTACGGTTCAAATCTGGTACACGAGCTTTTTGAGCTGTTTCATCTGGCGCAACCTTTTGTCGAAATTTACAGTAAATTGAACTGGATGTATGACTGGCTTCTAACAACTCCACGTACTTTGCGGTATTCTAAAGAACAAAACAAGATCTATTACAGTCAGGACTAAGTCATTTGGAGTGCAAATAAATGACGCCCTAATTTCCAGACTCCAGTATAGTCCCTATAAACTTCACTTTTATCTGATTAATAATGTTTCTTATCAGTTAATAACCTATATTGTATTAGAAGAAAAAAAATATGAGAGAAAACTTCGAAAAGCTTTTTTCGTGTCTTACATAATAGCAGAAGCTATCATGAAAAAACGCTCACCTCTGCTGTTAAATTCAGCGGTATGTTACGTTTGCCGTCATTCTGAGACAGAAATACTCCCGCTTGATTCATTTCACCGAGTCCACAGTGCGTTACACCTTCGTCTCCCTATAAAATTTAAAACAAAAGCAATCATGGTAGTTCAGAAACTTTAAGCTATTTTTCGTAGCATAATTTGTTTAGATTTCAGAAATCTAATCAAATCAGGTGAAAACTAACCATCTGAGTGTCTTTAGAGAAGCCAATTGCTGCATAATTAGTGTCCGGATGTGTCGTATTGTAAAACAGTTCCACAACTACCCAACTATCATCTGGTTCTAATGCATAACTAATAATTTTTTCACAATCTCTTTTCTCCTCACAATTTGCCGAAATAAATATGCAAGCCTAAAACAACTGCAGAACAAAATATTTTTTTTTTTTTTGTTGATTAATCGAAATATTAAGTGAAGCTTTTATTGACTGCGCTGTTTGGAACGAGTCATTAAAACTGATTTCCTATCAAAAAGATCTGCAGCCTCTGAAGACTTATGTCTGATAGATCTCTAGTTCCAAATCAGAACTTTTGTTCATTTATTTTCTAGATTTTTTTTTTTTTAAACTAGAAAACTTGAAAGGTTAACTTATCTTATTTTTTAGACATTCGCTCAAAATAAATTGCGAAGAACAAACGATGAAGAGTGCAATAACGACAACGATTACTGAAGATATTGTAGTATACATATAATATGAACTGACTGCAACAAAACCCTTCCTTATGATCATATTTTGATTTCATTATAAATTCTGTTTCGAAACGTTTTCATGTGATTAAGTTAATCCAAACATTCATTTCGGAAATACAAATCATAAATATAAATCTAATTGATGTTAAAAATGAAGATTAATCAAATTAAAACTACTAAAATGCTACTACATTGATCACACTCAATTATCCTTTAAGCATTTCTGGTTCTTGGTATTAAATTATTCCCTTCATTACAAATAAAAAACTCAGACATTCTTATTAAAAAAGTTTTCGCAATTATATTTAAATGAAAATACTGAAAATCTTCTGAAAACTAATGAAAATAAGATTTCACTTCAGCACATATAAAACTTAAAATCAACCTTACTCCCATATTGTTTCATTTGAAAAAGAGAGATTTTCTCCCACTTTTATATTACAACAAATATTGCAATTTAATTTTTTTTCAAGACTTCTTATTTAGGTGTACGCAGATTTTCGACAAATTAACAGAATATGTAATGAAATATAATCTTCCGACTGAGGTGTGAACGAAGAATTATTAAAAATTTTTGAAACTAAACTTATCGTTGGAATTTGTACAGAAATTATTGAATTGATGGTATTGTTATTAATACTGGAACCTGTTTACCTTAAAAACCCTAAAAATTAATAGAACCTTACCTTAAAAATACAGCCACTTCAAAATGTGATTTCTCCGGATGAAGATATGAAAAATGAGAACTATGTGAGAATCCTGTCAAAAGGTCACAAGCAATTTTAAGCCATTCATGAAAATCATTCCAAAAGACTCGTCGCTTGAAACTTTTCTATTTTTCAAAATTAAAGCATATTTTTTTAGGAAGTAAGTAATAAAAGATCGTAGAATATAGAGATGGACAGTCCCTTTAAAATGCAATAAAAAATTAATTCAATCGAAATTAATTTTCCTTTCTGCTGAGAATATTTTCTTAATTCTCTTAAAAAAAACATTTTAGTGAATTTGTTGGAAAAAAAAAAAAACAAAGATCTAATTTAAAAGAAAATATTAAAAGATTTCACGAGGAAGGGGACGGAAAAAAGAGCACTAAATGAGAAACGAAGAAACTAGAAATATAATTCGAATAGAGAAAAACTTTTCAAAAGAAATCAGTAGAAAGTAACTGTAAAAAATTAACTACTCCCTAATGCCAAAAAATTTATGGTTGAAAGTGCATTAGTGGTTTTTTCTTGTTCATTCCCAATTTTGTAATGCTAAAATTTAGAATGGGACTTTTTCCACCTTTGATACTTTCACCTTATCTGTCTCATATTAGTCAGAAAAAGAATTACGTTATCATTTATTTAGCCAGTCATTAATGATAAAGTGTACAGTCACAATGATATTGGAGAAGTACGATCTACGAGAATACAGTATATTATCGAAGTTTGTTTGGCATTTTTTACTTATAACAAACATTCTTGAATGATAATTAGCACCATGGAAATACAAATAAAGTTCACTTTCTTCGGTTATTATGCTTTTCTTCCATTTGAAAAGCAAATCTTTTATGTGAAGGATTTTTTTGCTCATTTGAGGCACAGAATATTTGATGCTTTAAACTTCCAACCAGATGAAATTTGGAAATTATCTGCAAGCAATTGGTATCATCCATTAAACGATAATGGTAAGCTGAAGAGATATATGAAAATGAAAATTTCAGCAGCAGAAAAATTTCTTTTCATGTCTTACTAACTGTATAACATGGAATATGCAAAGAAATCAAAAGGAACAACCATTTTGAATGCAGGATGTCTTCGTTTCAAATAACAAATTTATTTCTTAGCAAACTGAATAAAAAATAAACTTAACAAAACAGTGGAAAGAAGCTTATTGAAAATTGTCATCAAGGCATCCTAAGTTGACTGCTTAATTCAAAAAGCTTTTTGATAAAGAAATGGCAATCAGCAGCAATAATTGTGAGCATTCTCCAGTGATTTTACTAGCACATCATAACCGGAGATGGTCAATTTGAAATCAGTGTAAAAACAACAATCTATGCAAATGATGAGGTTGAGGATAAGTGGCGGCCAGATATAAATCGCAATAACGACAGTAATGTTCATATTATTCCTTTCCCACCAATTATTGCATGGATATAGAAGGGTTAAAGGTCATCGATTAGAGATAAAGAAGAGAAAGAAATTTTTAGAAGAAACAATATGGGAGAAGACGATCGATATGAGACTATTTGAATGGTTAGATTTCAACAAATATGTTATGTGATTACAGTATGAAAATACACGGAAATATGAATGATAATAAAATAAAATATGAATAGCACAGCAATATCAGCCTTGATATTGGAGCATACTGATAAACAAATATTAAATTTAGACACAAGACAAATGCAGCAGACACTGCTGAAAGGGAATGACCTTAAATTTAGTGTATTACTGATAGTTAGTGATAAGGAAGTGATGAAGTGACGATAGCCACGATAGCCCTACTTCAAATTTCATTTATATCATGTCAGCAAATCCCCAGACAAACAAAGGGAAATAGTAACGTGAAAAACAACAATGGCATCTTGTTTTTGCTTTCCTCTTTCCCAACATTGTCACTCACATTGATCGTGGCCGTGAAATGTGATTGTACTCCGTAATTAGTATTATTAAACAGAACTCGTTTGTCACGTATGTATGTGCCTTCAAGCAGTACTGTCATCTATTTTAGTAGGTGCGTTGTTCGATGATCAATAAATTGTTTAGAATTGATCAGTGATTTACCAAATTTTTCCAATTAATTACAACAACAATAATGCTACGGTGTACAAACATACAACATAAATAAATTAATCTTATGATTTCTGCTTATAAAACCAGCTCAAAACTAAACGATTCCAGCGCTAGAAAATATAACATGCGGAATAATCAGAGCAATATCACAACTTTTCCATCATCATAACCAAGAGTATACATTTCATTTTTAATTTGGCGAAATTATTCTGGATTCACCTAGTCTTTATAACGACCACTCAACAATTTTAACTATTGAGCAATTCATATTTAGAATGTTTTCTGAATCAAGATAGTACTCAACAGCAAGATAATACTTGAATAGCTTTAAGATTTTACCACATTAAAAAAAAAAATTAAAACTTTCATTTCTTAAACTGTTTTAAAATTACCACATGAGTCGTTGGCAGATAACAGAAATCATTTTAATGCATTATTGTAAGAATGGCCAAAATTTTGATTTCACTAAACTAATAATCCCTCTCTCATAAAATTAAGGTCTTCCTCACTTCGAAATTCCCCCCAAAACAATGTGTTATTTCCATTTAATCATGTCTCCCTATATGAACAAATTGCTTTCACTCTTTTTAATATTTCCCACGTGAAATATCACCATAAATTGATATCAGCCTGAACTGGCTGGTTATCAAAATAATTTCTTTTAAGCTAGGAATATAATCATTTGAACAGCGAAACAGCGAAGGACAGACATGATCACTAGCTCAAATTTGAAATCTCTTTACAATGTTCCTTACAACATACCATCATTCTCTCAGATTTAAATCTTATATTTTTCTTTTTAAGAAATCCTTAAACCTTTATTCAGCCTCTTTACTCACTCCAGTTATATTGCATATCTACAAATAAGAATAAACTTTATTTTTGAATGATTTATTGGCTACAGCTGCATATATCTTCTATTCACATAAGCCATATAAATCTAATTATAATCTAAAAAGATATTTACAAGTACAACAGAATAAGCAGTAACCATTGCAGACCGCAGTTATAAACAATTTCCGAATTCTGGTAGTTCACATTAACTTTCGTGTCGTGGGAAGAAAATGTATTAGGTAAAAAAAGAAAGCAAATGTGAAGAAAAACTCAAAACGTAGTCTGCAAAAAGGTATATTTAAACACAAGCAAATTACACACAAAATTCAAAAATCTAAAAAAGGGTAACTGATGCTATAAATCCATTGTCCATCACCTGCAAAAATTACCGTTTTCAAATAACAAAAATTTATCTCTGAAAAAGAATAGCATATGAAATAATTCTGTATAAACTAGCAATCAACTAAGTCTGAGAGTATCGCTCAAATTATTAAGATCACAAAACCAAATCAGAAAAAGAATGACAGAATAAAACATAATTCAACTGTTATCTACTACTGATTAGTTTCTAAAACAACTATACTGACCTCGACAATAACTTGATCAGTTCCATAGCAGAAAGTTGACCCAAATGGATTTTCAGTCCCACTCCTACTAAGCACCACTGGCTGTACAGCTGTATCACCACAGAAAGCACCAAAAAAGTCTTCTCGCTGAAAATCCGGGATTACAAAAGACATAAACAACTCGGGAAGCTTAAAAAGATGAGTAAAACCAGGAACTTTTCGAACTGGAAACATATAAACTGGACCTTTGACGAAGGAGTAATGGTTGGACCACCATTAATAGTAACACAGAAGTTACAGCGTGCATATCTGCAATTTACCCACGTAACAATTTATTTAAAGCATTTTCTGCTATATTTTCAAGTATTTTCATATTAATTTACATTACAACTCAAAGACAAACTCATTTTTATTGTCATATCCTAACATTCATAACTAAAAGACTTACATTCCAAAGTCAAAATGGCCTGGCAAATTGGTATGTAGGACAAATTTCTGGACACGGTTAGTGATACAATCGAATAGAATGTCCTAAAAATCTATGTTAAAAAGAAAAAAATCCTAAATAAAGAAAATAAGGAATTACTTAAGTCAGTGATTTACAGCGGCTAATTTAAGACTAAGTGCTTGCTCCAGTATATTAGCTTATTTCAGCTGTTCCAACAAATTCAAATAAAAAAGGATGAAGTGAAAATATAAATATATGGCGAACCAGTCCTAAAGAAAAATAATTGAAGAAATAATTAGGGCGCGGTCCACGCAATTTTCTTGAATCTTCCCCTCGATGAATTAACATTCGATCCGCTTTCGTGTAAAAT